AAGGTGTCAGAGCTTAAAGTGGCTGCGAAGTGCCACGAGTAGCACGCGTTGAAGTAGAGTACGCGCCCTCCCGTCTCTACCTACACATCCCAGTCCCATATGGTGGCAAGGCTATTAAATATATAGCCTGCGGTGGTGGCAGAATGGGTGAGAAGAAGGGGCTGAAGCATATCATGGAAAATGATGGAAGGTGACAGAGCTTAAAAGGGGCTGCGAGGTGCCACGAGTAGCACGCGTTGAAGTAGAGTTCCCATCCACCCGTCCGATCCCAACCAATCCCAAGGCCCCACCCGGAACGCGAGGCTAGTAAAGATATAGCCTACAGGCGGAAGCAGGAGGGTGAGAAGAAGGGGTGCAGAGGGGGAGGAGGGCACGATATGGCGAGAGCCGTTCTTATAAGGGACTCCAGCCCTGCAAAAGATGGGTGATGCAGCCGTAGATGTGCATGGTGGAATTCCTCCTGCCCCCTTGGGCGATGCAGGTGGTCGAGCGCTAGAGGAAAAGGAGAGCATAGATGAGAAGCGTTGACACCCATCACCCCAACATCCCTCTCCGAACCCAACAGATCCCGATAACTGAGACAGACAGATAGGGGCTCAGCAGGCTCAGGGTATGGAGGGGAGCCCGTAGACTGTCTAGGGAACCTTTAAGCACTCAAGGGCATCCCAGGAAGTCGACAGCGCAATCGATGGAGTCGAACGCAAGGGCCTCCCTGGAAGTCGACAATGCAATCGATGTAGACGAACGCAAGGGCTTCCCAGGAAGTAGAGAGCGAAATTGAGCGAGATGGTGCAGTGCAGTGCTGTGTCGGTCATATGGTTGTTGTGTGTCATAGTGTGAAGACTGTGGTGGGAGCCGTTAGGTGGTAGTCGGTAGAAGAAGAGCTCAGTTGTCAGTGAGGTGCGGTCGTGTGGGTCGTCGGAGTCTGGTGTATAACCGTAGTAGGATCATGTTAGTGTCTGCGCAGGTCGTCGAGTAGGGCCTGAGTGGTGTCGGGCCTGGTGAGAAGGTAGTCTTGCATACGGTGGAGTCTGTCTTGATGAGTGGTAGTAGCAGAAGTAGGTTCCGTCTGTGTAGATGTCGTTGTGTGCAGCGCTGTTGGTGAGGTGAGTGTCGCTGGAGACTGCAGGTACGTAGTAGGTGGAAGGGTTGAAGCCTGTGAGGTCGGTGGCTGGAGTGGAATGGGCGGTGGTGGGGTCTGAATGGTAAGCTGGAGGGTGAGTGCGGAAGGATAGTCGTCGTCGAGGACGGTGAGTGCTTCGGGGGGTTCGTCATGGCTGGTGGATCCGCTGGAGGCTGGCTGGAGTAGGATGGTGGTTAGGTCATGGGTGGGAAAGATGGTATGTGGGGTCGTCGTAGGGTCGAGCGGGGTGGCTGGAGGTGCCGGAGGGTCGGCGGAGTGTGATGACGAGGAGGCTAGGGAAAATGGTGGGGTTGGATCGTGTTGTGGGTGTGGTTGTGGTGGGATGAGGGAGAGTCCCGGGGCTCTCGGGGGCGCCAGAGAAGGACGTCTGATAAGATAGTCGCGAGCCCTGGGGTAGGTGGGCGGAGCAGAGCGAGGTCTGCCGGGGACAGGATGGTGGAGGCGGTAGAAGTCCACGACATCTGCTGGACACAAGTTGGGTGCTCTGCTTAGTATGGAGCGTTCAAGCATCGATGTGATGTGAGTCACGGATGTGGGCGTTGGCGAGGGGGAGTACCGGTAGGGCTCGGGGGGTGGTTCGTCTGGTCTGTGGGGGGCATCGCTGGGAAGTACTTGGTGTGTCTCGGGGGTGAGGTTGACGAAGGGGAAAAGCCGTCAGTTTGTGCGGCTATGTCAGTGGTGCTGGTTGGAATGGGGGTAGAGTGGCCTAAGGGGTCCGTCTGAGTGGCCGCAGTGGTGGTCTGCGGGACTGCTGCTGGAGTAGGTGGGCAAGGTGTCGTCCGTGTGTTACGCCTGTAGCGTTGCCACGCTTGCTGGATGCGTTTGGTCTGGGCGAGAATCTTCTGAGTGCGCAGTCGCGTAAGGAAGCCACGGATGGCAGTCTGGATGGTCGTGACCCTGAGCTCCTGGACTTCATTCCAGAGGGTGGTGCGTAGATGATGCCCGCGCCAGGTGCGCTGGATCGAGACAATAGGGCGTACGTCATATGCTGGTAGCGTCTCAGTCGAGTGGACAGCTGGTGGAGGTGGGAGTGCCGGGGGCGCTTTGAAGCGGGGGTTCAGCGGCTGTCCGAAGGCTCCGCGGACCGTGTTGAGTCTGTGTGTGAGGCCAGAAACGAATGGGGCATCTGCAGCAGGGGCCTGTGGATTTGGGGTACGGTGTCGTGGTGGTGGCTGTTTGGCGAGAAAGTCGGTGGGTAGACTGTGGTGAGATGACTTGGGAGAGTCGGTTTGGGCGGAGGGTTGTGGGGGCAGGTCAAACAGTAAGCCGGGGAGGTGAACTGGAGACGCCGGGGTGGGAGGCGCCTTTGGTGAATCAGACTTGGGGAGGTTGGGAGAGTCGGCTTGAAGGTCAAGGGGACTGGGTATGGGGGGCTGGATAGACTCGTGGAGCGGGGGGGGTCCGGGTGGGGGAGCTGGTGCAGCGTCAGCGGGCTGGATGGGCACTGGACCTGCAGTCCAAATCAGGAGCTTGGGAGTGGCTGCTGGTGTCGGTGTCGGTGCGCTCGGTGGGTGAGGTGTGGGAGCTCCTGAGGGAGGTGTAGGAGTCGGCTGGTGTGGCGGGCCGGGTGCCGTTGGCTGCCGGGAGAGGTCTTGTGGCTGCTGCGGAGGCGGCTGCTGCGGCTGCTGGGGCTGCTGTGGAGGCTGCTGCGGCTGCTGTGGAGGCTGCTGCGGAGGCTGCTGTGGCTGCGGGGAAGACTGCTGCGGCTGTGGGGGCTGCAGTGGCGTAGGTGGGTGCTGCGGAGGTGGAGGCTTCCGTGGACGAGTCAGGAGGGAGGGCGGTGGCGCGAGCTGCGGCGGGTGCGGCTGCTGTGGTGGTTGTGGGGGCTGCTGCGGCTGCGAGAGCTGCGGCGTAGGTGGCTGAGGCGGCTGCTTGTGCTGCGTAGGCAACGACAATGTGTGGGGGATTGGGGTCGCGGAAGTGGGAGTGTCCGTCAGAGCGGCTGTCTGAGGAGAAGCTGGTGGTGGTGCCTTCTTGGCTGGTGGGGTTGGGGTGGTTTGGTGATGGGGAGGCTGCGAATGCGGTGGTGGCTTGGCAGGGGTGTTGTCTGGTCGGAGGGGTATTGGGCTGGTAGCCGTCAGGGAGGATGGGGATGGGCCAGTGGGTGGTGGCGGTTTGACGGGGTTAGGAGAAATGGGTGCGGCGGGCTGGGTACGGCGTAGCTGTCGGTCGTCGCGTAGGGCGTCTAAGTCGGGAGTCAAGGCCTGGCTCGTCGTGGAATCTGGTCGTAGTGTCGGATCGTCTGTGGGTGATGGCGCGGGGGTTGGTGCTGGTGGAGTGGTCGCTGGCTGCTGAGCGTCGACTTGGGGTGTGGTGGGAGGCACGTCGAGTGGGGTTGGAATGGGGCAGCGTTGTAGCAAGTTGGTGATGAGCTTGATGGTATTGGCAGCGTCGTTTTGCCAGAGGAGGCCTGGTGTATTGTTTTTGAGTCGATCGTACCAAGACAAGAAGCGTGAGTAGTGGTGGGGCTGGGCTGCTGTGTAGTCGGGCTGGGGAGGGGGGGGGGGGGGGGGGAGCACGGTATGTGAGATACTGGCAGTGGATGATTTGGTAGGAGTCTTGTAGGATAGTCCTGAAGAGATCCTTGTCGCAGAAGAGAGTCGTCTGCTGTGTGGTCTGGTACATGATGTCGAGGAGTTCGCGTCCACGCCATGGGGAGGGTACGACGAGGGGGAGGGATGGGGGCCGGGGGTTGAAACGAGCGTTATAGGTGGAGCGTGGTGCTGGGGTGAAGTCGGTAGCTAAGAAAGCATGATACTTGTTGGGAGTAGGCATGGGTCGTGTAGCAGTGTGGCGGGAGTAAAGGATCCAGGTCGGTGGGTAACTGAGCTGGTATGGTGGGAGGTGGCTGCAGAAGGTCTCTTCGTTGTTGTCGTTAAGGAAGCGAAACCAATTGGGTAGCAGCTCGTGGTTGTGAGGGAAGTCGTGGGAGGCTTGACCAGTATGTGGGTTGATGTAGAGGACGCGGTGGTAGGTGGTGGCAGCGTCGTCGTCTTGGTATTAGATGTTGTCTATGACGGTGGGAAGCCATCCTGAGTGGCAGTACATGTGATGGTCAAGGTCGTGGTCGAGCACAACGAAGAAGGATGAGCTCTCGGTGCGCGTGTCGAGGTATTCCGTGCGCGTATAACCTTTGTCAAGTCGTCGGTAGGGTCGATCGTGAAGACGGGGTCGAGTGGGACGTCGATTGTCGGCAGGGCGTCTTTCCGATTCGTTGGGTGTGACGTCAAAGTTGTATTCGGTAAGTTGATCGTGTGCTGGGAATGGCTGCTTGGTGTGATAGGTGTCGTCGACATGGTCTGGGTGGTAGAAGTGTTTGAGTCCACTGATCCATTGCAGTGTGTCAGCTTCTTCGTCGTAGTCGCGTCTGGCTTGCTGGATGTACTCGTGAATAGCCTTTAAGACTAATTCGCGTACTGGATTGCCAATCGGTAGCTGGAGGAGCCTCTCGGCGTCATGTCCTGCGAGATAGCGAGTCTGGGCTGGTGCCATAAAGGCAGCACCTTGGGAGTGAAGAATGGGAATGATTGGGGTGGGTTGGATGTCTGGTTGGGGAGCGTGTGTAATGTGAGCCTCGGGAGGGGCAATGCGCTGGATAGGGAGAGTGATGGCTGAGTAGATGTGTGGTGGCCATCGTGGGAAAGCAGCCGTTGGCGGGCCGAGACGATATTCATGCATGCGGCCTTGGTCAGAAGCTGGGTGGGATGGGAGATAGACTCGCGCTTTATAAGTGTTGAGGAGAGTCATGATTGGGTCGCGAGGTTGTAGGAGGGAGAGCTCCACAAGGTCGGGGAAGTCGGTGCTGGTAGGTGGTGTGGTATGGAAGTTGGCTGGGTCAAGTACGACTCCTGCGTAGGGCGGGTTGAGCTGCTTGACTCCTTGCTTGAAGAGGACGTCTCGGAGGTAGGAAGCGAGGTTAACGACTTCAGAGCCTACGCCGGTGTTGTGGCCGGCCGTGGTGCCTGCAAAAAGGAGTCGAGGTTGGTGGATGGGCGTGTCGGCGTGCTCGTAGGGATCGAGGTCGGGGAGGTCGCAGTAGTCGGGTGGTGTGGCGTCGGAGCTCTTGCGACATGGTCGGAGTGACATGTCCACAACGGTATGTACTGAGTAGAGCTCGTTGTAAAAGAGGGTGTGAAGAAGTCGAAAGGACTGCTTGAGGACGTGGATGTGCGTGTCGACGTTGTTCTTGTCGGAGCCGTCCTTGTTCTGTAGTGGTGGCATGCGCAAAAGGTTAGCGCTTGCGAGGCGTCGGAGTTGAGGTATGTTGAACTCCGTGATCTTGGGAAGTCGGTAGGGCTCTTTTGAGTGAGAGGTGTGGTATTGTGATGTACGTCGGAAGCGGGGTAGGTTGAAGGGTCGTCGGATCCAATGGTTTTTGGCTTGGTCGTTGTGGTGGGTGGCGAGCCATTCGTGGATTGACTGGTGAAGTGCGTCGTAGACCGTGCCAATATAGTGTGGGTCTGCATCTGGAAGGTAGGCCAATGTGACATGGACGCCGTATTGTGTGGTGGTGCGAGCCCACCCATGTTGAGTAGGTGTAGGAATGTATACTCGTCCGAGCTGTAATGCAATGTACCAGTAGTAGTCGGACATGGTGTCAGGGTTGACGGTACGTTGTTTACCAGGGTCAAGGGTGAGGAAGGTGGTAGGCATGTTGGGTGGGTCGTGGGTGGAAGGCTGGATGCGAACAGGGTTGTCGCCTCTCTTGCGTTGGTAAGCTCGTTGTATGAGAGTGGGGTCAGTAGGGTTGGGTCGGTCAGTGGTGGGAAGTGAGTCGAGGAACTCTTCAACGCGTTGGTCGTGTTGCTGTTGAAGGTGCTGTCGGAGGAGCTGTGTGTCGACGTCGTCGCGCTTGCGGCCGCGATTGATGGAGATGTAGAGGTTGTCGCTCAAGACCAGGTTGGGTGCAGAGCCATAATCATCAACACTGACCGCCGCATGGAGGTTGTGTGTCGATTGGAAGGAGGTAAGCGAGTCCCGTGCTGGACGGGAAAGCATGTTGACAGGAGCTAGTCCCTGGGCCGCTTGAGGTAAAACGGCTGCAGAGAGGGGGACAGAAGCTCCGAGAGATGGTGGGGACGGGATGATGCGAGTGATAGCGGATAGAGGGGAGAAGAAGTGGTTTTGTCTTGGCAGCGACAATCGGTGTGTGGGCGGGTATGTAGCAGCAGCGCAGTCTAAGGTGAGCGACAGGGCTCACGAGAACTTGTTGTGGTTCCAGGTAATCAGAACGAGAAATGGAGAGAGAGTACCGTCAGCAGCAGGAAATAGTGGTTCGGCTCACCAGATACGGTGTGTCGAGTGGGGCTTAGCAGTCACCTAGTCGGTCTCGGTCCAGTTCGCGAGCTTGTAGTACCAGCGAAGAAAGGTATGAGTCCCGGGAGAGGTATGGTAGTAGAGGGTGGATCGCGGAGTACTGTTGTGGATGCAAGCAGTATTGCTCGGGTAGGAACGCAATCGGCGCAAGCTTCCAGACGCTGTCGTGATACTCGTGGGAATTCGGCAAGTAGACAGTGTTCTGGTGTGCAGCCTAGGCCTATTCGCCTATTGCAGCCCTAGATACAGAAGATACGCTCGCCAGGTCTGTGATTTCTGCAGCGCTCGCACAAGGGTCGCAAACGTGGTGGGCGTCGTCGCTGTGCCGGAGCATTGGCGTGGGTGGTCGAGGTCGTACGGTGGGTCGATGCTGCTGGACTGGTGCTAGCCATGGCGTATTCCGTACTGCATGCGAGGTCGGACGGCAAACAGAAGTACGTTTGAGCCGGAGGCTGCAGATAAATGGGGGAGGCGGGATGGTGGAGATGGGTTGGAGGTCATATTGGGGGAGAGGGGGCTGAGCGTGGCAGCTTGTCTGTGGAGCGAAGGTGATGGAGGTGGTGGTAAGTAGGCCGGCTTGCTGTGGGCGTCACAAAGGTCGTAGGTATGGGTGTAGGAATGGGCGTAGGGCGTAGGAATGGGCGTACGGCGTAGGAATGGGCGTAGGGCGTGGGTATGGGCGTCGCAATGGGCGTAGGGCGTAGGAAAGGGCGTAGGGCGTGGGAATAGGCGTAGGGCGTAGGAATGGGCGTGTGGGCGTAGGTAGGGCGTAAATATGGGCGTAGGGCGTAGGAATGGGCGTAGGGCGTAGGAGTGGGCGTAGGGCGTGGGTATGGGCGTAGGGCGCGGGTATGGGCGTAGGGCGTAGGAATGGATGTGTATCGGCAGGATGGGCGTAGGGCGTGGGAATGGGCGTAGGGCGTAGGAGTGGGCGTGGGCGTGGGAATGGGCGTTGGGCATGGGAATGGGCGTAGGGCGTAGGGCGTGGGAGCGGGCGTAGGGCGTGGGTATGGGCGTGGGCGTAGGGCGTGGGAATGGGCGTAGGGCTTGGGGATTGGACGTGGTGGATAGGTAGAGCGCCATGTCCGGCGAACAGAAGGGTGTGGTGGGGAGAGTGTGGAGAAACAAAGCCAAATCTCAGTACGCACCCGGGCGTGGTGGGGAGTGCTCCAGTTGTAATCACCCTGACCAGGCGTTGGTTTGCTGCTGGGGAGGCAAGTGAGCCAGAGTGAAGACAAAGTCGTAGCTGTGGCTGACTTGCAAAGCGAGCAGCACAAGGCTAATAGAATAGCCTTGAAGTCATGGGACCTGACTTCTGGGTGGTTGGGTAAGTTAGATAGTCAGGCTGTGGGCCGCACATGACCCTGGAGCTGCTACCCGGGTTGGGCGACGATAGGTGGGACGAAGAGTGTGTACTTCATAGATCTGGCAATGGTAAGGATGGTGTCAGAGTATAGGGCGAACGGGAGCATGGCTATTGGGGTGGGGTTGGAGCGGTCGTGTCGAGGTAAGGATCGAGAGGTAGGTATCCGGTGTAGTCCGGGGGAAAGCTGGGTTCGGTGCGGTCGTTGTGGCGATGGTGAGTAACAGCCTGCGTGATGTGGTGTGCGAGAAAGTGGTTGAAGCTGTCTGGATAATGGAATGGTGTGGTGTGGGATATATTGTCGGAGTGATTGACAGTGTGATAGAGGTGAGTCGTATGTGTGGTGGGGTTGCTGCGGATGCCGTTCGAGAGGTCAGAAAGGATATGGGTGTCGAGTGTCAGGGCATGGGGGTTGAGGGAGGAATGTGCGCTGAGGTCAACATTGTCTGTTAGGTGAGCGTGATGCGAGCGGAGTGCTTGATATTGTGGGATGTGCCAGACGGTGGTGGTCGGTCGCTGGGAGTACCGGGTGGTGATGGTGAGGGAGGGAAGGGCATGGATCTGTGCAGCGTGGAGCAAGGTGCAGGTGTGCTGCACCAGTCGGTTGGAGGTTATTGTCTTGGAGCGTTTAGTGGTGGACAGGTGGGGCAGGCCCCATGGGTGCGTCTCGGTGCGCATGTGGTCAAGTGGCCGCCATGTTGTGCAGGGGAGGTGAGCAAGGACAAGAGCGACTAGTCCACTGCGAATGCGGTGTAGCCATAAGTCAAGGGTCTGTGGAGAGAGGTGGGGGAGACTGATAGGGACAAGTAAGGAGGTGGCTGGGTGACACTCGAGACGAGATTGGAGGTCATTGGGGTGTCGCGTGTCTTGTCCAAGTAGTAGGAGGTATTGTGGTGTGTAGGTGGGTAGCTGGGGGACGGCTGCTGGGATATTGTCAGGTTGGATGTCAATGGATGGTGGCTGGATGCGCTGATATTGTTGTTGTGGTCGTCGTCGATAGTTGTCAGGAAGTTGAGCAGGTCTGGTGGCAGTCTCAGGGCGTAGGCCTCGTAGGCGTCGCTGCTTGTTGTCATCTAGGTCAGTTTGTCGTAGAGCAGTGGCTTGCTGTCGAGTCATGGGGGTTACTCGCTGCATGTAGTAGGAGTAACATCGTGCGACACGTGATCGTAGATGGACGATGAGTTGTGGTCTGTTGTCGAATAGAACTTGACAGCACTCGCATTGGCGTCCTGTCGCACGGAGTTGGACGTCGTCTAGGGATTCATGTGCGAGTTGATGTCGATGCCAGCCAGGCTTGGTGTTGAAGAGATGTCCACAAGTGTAGCATATGTATTTGGTGATGCTGGATGGTTGCTGGCTGGAGGTATGGTTGTTGAGTAGCTCAAGTTGTTTGTTCCATTGTCTGGTGCTGGCAAGGTCAAGGTAGTCGAGCTTCGACCTGGCTTTGGCAAGCTTAATGAGATTGGTGAATTGTCGTGGCTGGCGGTGGATGTAGCGTAGCCAGGTGTCGATGGTCCATGTACGTCGGTGGTGGTCTGGTTTTGTAGTAAAAGTGTTGAGCCAGTGAAGGTCAGAAATGGCTAACTGGAGCCAGGTGTTGGGGTATGGCTGGATATGTCGCGGATGGGTGTAGTAGCTAAAAATGAAGTCAAGCGTGCGCGGAAGTGCGTGAGGTCCGTGATGGATGAGAGAACGTAGGTAGTTCAGTCGTCGAGGTCGTAGCTGGGTAGTAAAATTGGCTCGGTTGGCCAGTAGCATTACTCGGTCATCGTTGAGTGGTTTGGATGGGTTGGTCAGGTGATGAGTGCCTGTGGCAGAGCGGTATGCCTTGTGTAGTGCTGTATCAAGGGTGGCCAGAATAGTTTGTGGAAGAGGGTCCCATGTCTCGCTTTGGTAAAATAGGTGGCAGGTGCTAAAGGTGTCCGTAAGCTGGAGTCGGTGACGATGGTGGAGTGCCGGGTTCTTGAGGTGAGTGGCTATGAGTGGTCCCATCGCTTGCGTCTGCTTGGTAATTTGTTGTCGTGTGCGGACACGGGTGGAACAGGTCGGGTCCAGGTGGGTGCCAAGGTGATCGTACATGTGCTGTACAGGTACATGTATGCCCCAGTCGGGGAGATAAACAGAGGCGTGGTTGTGTGTGTAGAGCGTTTGTTTGGCCTGCATAGAGCCGGGTCCTATAATATTGACGGTGAAGGCAGATTTGCCCGGCTTGTAATTGAGCTGGAAGCCGTATTTGGTGAGTGTGGTGTGGGTGGTTGAAGCAAGGGAGCTGATACAGTGGATGAGCTGGTCATTGTCTGGGCATTGTGCAAGTAGAAGTGTGTCGTCGACGAATGCTACATCAGTGGCAGTGCTGTCGGTGCGATTATGCTGTGTTCGATAGTTAGAGAGGTGTGGATTCGTCGGTTGTGGTAGTCGAATGACGTACTCGGATTCTTGGATGAAGTCGGCTATCTCGCTCAAGGGTTGGCAGTATGAGAGGTTGTAGACTGCGTCCGCTAAGCTGTTACCGGGTCGAGTACCTCCTGGTGAGAGGGCGACAAGAGTCGAGGTCTTAGACGTAAAGTGGGATAGTCGGTAAGATTCAATGATCTGGGCTTGCAAGTGCGGCGGACAGTCATGGGCGGTAAGTGCTCCCGGTGAGTCAAGTATGGCCTGAGCTAGTGGTATGAGTGCTGGTGGAAAGTCGGATCGTGTATGGTATGGTGCATGGTAGGTGGAGTGTGGTCCAAAAACTGTTTCACGTACAACTTTGTGAAAGGCTGCTGTGAGATCAATGTAATAGCGCACTATGGTATGGCGCGTGATGGCGAGGTAGGAGGTGAGGGCGGAAGCCATGTGGGCTGCGAATGAGGTGGTGCGTCCAGGTAGGCCTCCACATTGAGTAGGTCGTAGTGTACGTTGTAGGAAGTCGGTGACACTGGTGCGTAAGAAGGCGTAGTGTACCTTGGGGAATCTCGGATGCCAAGAAGATGGACCGGTAGTGCTCCGGTAGCGCAGTAATGCCCTTGCCTTTGTGAAGTGGGATGGCATTTCCATGTTTCCAGAGGAGGGGCTCTTGTAGGCAAAGTGATGCTTTGACAAGTAGTGGATGTACGTGTCGAGCCGTGCTGGTGATGGCTGCTTTGAGCATGTCGGTGGTGATCTGGTCAAGTCCTGGTGCTTTTCGTCGTTTGAGATTGGTAATGAGACTAATAGCACGTGGGAGTGTACAAACATG